GTGAAATATTAATTAAAAGAAAAATAGTACTTCAAATAAAACATGATTAGAATCATAAAACATGACTTATCTAATTAGCAAAAATATATTAGAGAGTTAGGCATGGTGGTATATGCTTGTAATACAAGGCTGACACAGGAGGATCATTAGTTCAAGGCTAGCCCGGGCTACATAGCCTGTCTCAAAAAAAACAAGCAGAGGAACAACAACAACAAAAAAAAATGAAATCCCATATAAACCAAAAAATCCATTTATCAAAACTTTAGAACTTAAAAGAATGAAAAATATTCTAAACATACTTTAAATTTTTTCTCAACAAACAAAACAACAACAAAAATGAAATCCCATATAAACCAAAAAATCCATTTATCAAAACTTTAGAACTTAAAAGAATGAAAAATATTCTAAACATACTTTAAATTTTTTCTCATAGATTTTAATAGCATTAATTATATAATTAACTATTCATAAATACTGTTATTTTATGTGTAATAATTGCTTACAATTATTACATGTGGTATGTATACCACATGTGTACAAGCACCTGTGGTGAATGAGACTGCCTATTAACGTCACAGAAGCTACACAAAAATGACCAGAACAAAAGCTATGCCCCAACACAGAGTTACCTTGAAACTAGCTTGGACTAGCATGGACATGAAAGAAATACGGATCTTCTTCCAACTGAAACACATCCTGGCTGATACCTTCAATTCTGAGGCAATGTAGAAATCTGCTGGCACTGTGGTCAAGTTGGAGGGAATAACTGGGGAAAGTTACAATATACACACATGCTTGTAGACTCACATATGCACACTCATACACAGAGACACTACTGACTCTGGGGTTCCAAGAACACTAAAACCAGCACAAACATCATATAAAAGTGCTAACAGTTCTGTGGATTGTGAGGTTGGCCATAATGCACTCCCTAAGGTACAAATTGCCCGAGCAGAGAAAGTTGGAAATACAGGAAGACCACTGGCAGTAAAGTTCATTTGAGAAGAGTTCCAGGAAGACAAAGATCTACAGGAGTAGCAGCTGTGCCTGTCCCAGCCTGGTATATCCTGGTTTATCCTCCAGACTCCCTAAAGAGCATGCCATGAAGATCAAGCCTAGCTGTCTTGCAAGAACTGGTAATGGCAGGAATGAATTTTTATCAAAAGACAAGTGAACCATCTGCTTTTTAGCTGTGTTCTCTAAGCTCATCTGCCTGGCTAGTTCTTCAGGCTAAGTAAACACAGAACAGTTATCCAAGGATAGGTTTTGCTGATTTTCATTAGAATGAAGACAGTGAGATTGGTCCTTATTACACAAGGAGGCTGGCATCACCAATTCCATTTTGATGTTGGATGGAGGGAGGAGTTGCAGTGCTGTTAAGACACTTAAATTTACTCACTCTACCTTACCCTACACATTAGTGCATAAACACTGCAACAGGAGTTAAGCGACGGGTGGGTGTCCAGTGGTAAAGCCCCAGAGGCCAAAGTAAAGCAGGAATCCAAGTCTTCCTTTCTTAGTGCAGAGTCTGTCCAATGATGGCCTCCCATTATCACTTATTCTTCCCTGCTCCATCATTTAAGAATTGCCTGCCTGGTAAGTCCAATTCTTAGCTCTAAATTTCACCTCGCCTAAGAAACATTTCTAACATGCACAGGTAGCTTCACATGTCATGGACTAGGGAAGAAAGAAGATCAAGAAAGTTGCTCAGAATCTCTTAAGTTTGGTAAGCTAGCTCTACATGCTCCAAGTAATGACATATCCAAGGGAAGTAAAACAGGTAGATTTTCTACCAGTTATATCATGATATATATTGCTCCTACCAACCGAAGGTGCTCACAGGGTCTTGGGGAGTCATCTTGCCAGAATGTAGTAGGAACACTTAACTGGGTAGATGCTGGACATGAATCATTCATTTCCACAGTTAACTGAGCAGCTGCTAAGGTCAACACCATGTGAGGAATGATCAGAAGACAATCACAGAAAGGATCCTCCTTCAAGGAGCACATGACCCTCAGGGGGAGCTGCAGCACCTTAAAGTTTTTTAATGCCACTGTGTCCCTGAATTCTAGTTGTAGTCCTATCTGAACTAGTTCTTACCCCTATGTCAGGCATTCACCTAATTACTCCCAGAAATAATGAAGCCACTTGAACCACACTTGAGATAATAGTACTGTTCAGGTGATTCTCTTTAACCAAGGAGAACCATTCATTGTCAGTGCTGCATGGCAACTCTCAGAGACCCAAGCAACATCTGGCAGAACTGTTCAAACATTTTGCCAGCATAAACTTAAGACACATCTAAATTTTTATTTTCTTCTTACTCATGTAGAGTTCAGAGGCAAACCATTCTTCCTATTAATTTTACAGAATTTTCCACAAGTTGTCAAATAAGAAACTGATGCATTAGCAGGCTACTTTCAAGAAGATTAACGAAACTACCAAAACCCTTCAGTAATTTCTTCAGAATGACCCCTATTAATTACAAGTTTTCTTGTTTTCACTAGGACCCAGAGAGGGAATCATCTAGCACTCTCAGACCCATTACCCCAAGCTAGGTCACAGCCTCGAACTAAACCAGAGCCTCTATTCAAAGGAGAGGATTTCATGCTGGATCTCTAGGGCCGAAAGCAGTTGAAATACTCAGCAGGTGCTCCACAAGCACTGGCTAGATGAATGAACATTAGTTCAGTGCTCTGCCTATATTCTATTCCATATGAAACACAAGTACAGTCTGACATCTTTACTCATAACCCCAATAAAGACACAGACCCAGGTGTGGTAGCTCATACCTGTAACGAATGCCAGCAATCCAGAGGTAAAGGCAGGAGGATCAGAAGTTTGCTGCCAACCTCTACCACATAGTGAATTCTAGCCCAGCCTGGGCTACATGAGACCCTTTCTTAAAAAGTCAATAGACAAAGAAACAAAGACAGAAGCAAATTGGGTGAGTCATACCTCCAAGTCAGCACTTGGCTGACTGAGGGAAGATGACTACAGTGAGTTCTAGGCCAACCTGGACTATAGAGTGAGACCCTTTCTTTGAAGACATGAAGACTCCATCATCTCTCTCCACCATTGAGACCTGATGCCTGTTTGGAGCAACTGGACTTGAACTGTGAGTGAAACCAGTGAAAACCACACCATGCCCTCATCACCATCTCTTCCACTTGCCAGGCATTTTCTCAACTGTAACTCAACACAAGGTGGGGGCAGGAAGACAAAGGATAGACTGAAGAGAGAGATCAGTTCTGGTTTGAGTTTCTGCTTTAACAAATTGCAAGTGCTTAGCATCTTATTCCAACTCAGGCCTCGCACATTGTTTCCCAGCAGAAAGGCTCTCCAAGAAATCATGTGAGGATACATAAAACTACTATTTTGTTTCCCACTTACATTTTATATTTTTAAGATTTATTAATCTAGCCTCATCCTTCCAATCACAATGCTCTTAAACTACTTCCACTTCCCCTGATAATTTTCTCATCTATCCTATCCAAAAGGAAAAAGAGACTATTAAAACTAAAAGAGACTAACAGAAAAGTTTAGTGACTGATTAAACATTCAAAAGTCTTTCTTCATTTTATTTCATGAGTTTAGAAAAGCCTTTAAATTTGACTTTGTGTATTACAGCTAATATACTTCATCGCACAGGAAACAGCATTTAACATGAGGCTTAGAAGGGTCACAAACATAAAAGGGAACACAGAAGAGGAAAGAAGAGATGTGGAAAAAACCCGGAATGCAGAAGATGACTTAACATTTACCCAAAAGAGCATTTATACTTTCTTCCAGGGCAGGATTATAACAAGTTTTGTCCAACAAATGCTTATGTCCATTTTGGAACCTAACATTCTTGGTTCTGAAATGGTTATGTCATTTTTTGGTCTTTTTGAGATAGGGTCTCCTCTCCCCGTAGCCCCAGCTAACCTGGAACTAGGTTAGACCAACCTGGCCTTGAACCGACAGATCCACTTGCCTCTGCCTCTTGAGTGCTGGGATTAAAGGAAAGCGCCAGCACACCCGGCCTTGGTTATGTCATTTTTAATCTGTGAGATGATTTGGCTTTTCACAGGTAATTAGGTTAAAGTGAGAAGTCACTGGGGCTGGAGTGAAGTAGGTTGCTGGAACAAGTGTTCTTCTAAGCAGAAAGCACAGATTGGGTATTATACTAACTGTTCTCCATTTTCTTGCTTACTGAGAAATTAATTTTCTGTCTTTTGGACAAATGTTCATTAACTATAGTTGCCACTGGCTTTTCATTTCACAAGAAGCATTAAAAAAACATCTTATTTTATCTGTATGAGTGTTTTGCCTGTGTGTTTGTAAGTACACCAGTGTCTGGCAATGCCCACGGAGGTCAGAAGAGGGTGTTGGATGCCCTGGATCTGGAGCTACAGACGGTTGTTAGTCGCCATGCGGGTGCTGGGATCGGCTGAGTCATCTCCCCAGCCCCGGAAGAAGCTTTTTCTTAAACAGAGAAAAGCACAGCAGCCGCTGAGCCCAGCACCCTGAGTGCAGGTCCAAGTGCTCAAAGCGCTCACTCGGCGCTGAGGGTCATCGAGTAGCAGGCTGACCAGGACACCGACTTTCAAGACACTAGGTGGTGTGGGTCCCAGCCTCTGCAGCAGATCCAATTACTGAGTAAACAGAGTCCAAGAACAGGCCACCCGCACTGAGGCTTTGGAGGGCTCAGCTCCACCAGTGAGGAGCGCAGCCCCTGCAAGGCGGAGACCCCGGCCCACCCTGCCAGCAGCAGCACCACCGCATCACCTGGGGCGAGGATGCGGTCCACGGACCCTCACGCCGCTCAGGCCCCTCGGGCCCCGCGTCCCCTCTGGATCCACCAAGCACCCTCGCCCAGTCACTCGTAATTCCAGAAGCCCCGGGTCCCCTCACGCCCTGCGCCACCCTCGGCCTACCACGCCTGCTGCCCACAACAGGCGGGACCCCCGAGGATCCTCGGAGCGCAGTTCCACTCACGTGGGGAGCCTTCTGCCTACCGTGGTTCCGACGAGCCGACATGTCCGACCCCTAAAGAGGTCCAGAGACCGAGAAGAGCTGGCCTTAGAGCGCGAAGCGCTTCCGGATCCCGGCGGTTTAGACCCGCCCACGACATCAGGAGTGCCTAATCCGGTCCCGACTTCCCCGCCGCAAGATGTCAATCATTCACATTCGGCTGTGGATTGGCTCGTAGGAGGCCCGGCCCAGCGCTTAAGCTCAGTCTCTGGGCGTTTCCGCTTGGAGCCTGCTGGGAAGCCTTGGGCGGGCTGCCGGGGCTTTGCGGGTCCGGCGTCCAGGTTCGGGACTGTACCGTGGGCACATACCTGCTCTGCGCGGTGGCCGAACTGGAGGTCCGAGCTCACAAGGGCGTGGCGAAGAGAAGGAAACCGTGAAGCTTAAGGCGAGACTAGGTCCCTCTCTACCCACCTCGGTCTAGGCACCTGCTTACCCATTCCGGGAGCCCACAACGCCTACTGGCTGGACGTGGGCACACCGGGGTGTCCACCGCCAACCGCCCTCCGCTCCGCGTTTGCCGACCCCCTCCTTGTGTCCTCTTTCACCGGAGTGATTTGCCTTCAGCCACCCTCAGAGTCCGTTGACATTGGACTCCTGGTCCTTGAATTCGCTTTTCGAAAGAAAGACTTGCCCTTCTGAGGCTCTACAAGTCTGGCACTTCTAGTCTGCATGCTGGAGTCACACCCGTGAGTGGTCTGACGAAAAAGGAGCACGACAAACTCATATCGCAAGGAGATGAGTGCTTTGGAGAAAAATAATTCAGGGAAGCAGTTGAACAGACTTGACCAGATGGAGGAAGAGCTGGTGGTATGAAGAGAACACCACAAGCAGACGGGAAGATAAACTGTGGTTCAAGGAGTGTGCCTGTTTGCCTTTTTGGAGACCTAAAGCCAGTATGGATCAGAAGATGTGGCTGCGCCTGTGAAGATCAGGTCAAAAAAGTCAAACTTTGGACATTCCAAGATGTGGAAGATTTATTAGTTTGAGCTCAGAAGTGAAATGATCTGACATATATTTTAAAGAAGTTACTTTAGCCATTCTACTGAGAGTCAATGAAGCAAGAAACTACTTTGAGTCCATTGCTAAGGAAGATTTTGGTTAGCATCTGAAAGTAATATTTTTGGCTGTGGGAAGAGGTGCACAGACCGTGGATGTGTTTGCACTGAAAGAGGAAATAAGGGCTGGAATAGCGCCTTGATTAGGGTTTATTTTGAAGTTGTCACTCTCCACTTCTTTATTCAAGTCTGCCCTGGGCTTATATCTTTCAGCAACATCTGAACCATGTGTTTTCCTCCATTCCTACTTTTTCAGTCCTCTACACCTAAACCTGAAAGAGTTGACTATCAAGCCAGTATCTACTTTTCCAGTTAACTCTGTGGTCTACCACCCCACCATAGCAGCTCCTGCTGTGGTCCCCAAGAACCTCTACACCACTAACTCAAGCAAACATTTACTAGTCCTCTTGTAACACTCCCAATCCCCTAAAGGCATCACTCACCCAGCTGCCAGGCTTGGGAAACATGGTGGCTCCCTTCCCCTTTTTCCCATATGACCTAGCCAGAAAAATAGCTAATTTGTGTTCTTATCTCCTACTAGGATTTTGTGTGTGTGTGTGTGTGTGACTAGGTCTCTTTTTAGCTTTTGTTGGCCTAGAACTTGCTATGTAGACTAAACTGGCCTGGAACGTCATAGGTGCCTGTCTCTGCCTCCTACGTGCTGGAATTAAGGCCTGTTCTACCACATCTAGCTAGGATTTCATTTTAAAATTGCTCTCTTCCCCAGACCTACTGTTATTTCTCAGCTCTCACCCTACCACCATCTCTTCCGCTTATAGACACCAAAGAAATTTTAAAATCACACTGCCGTTAAAAAAATTTAGCGCAACCCATTATAGCACAATATAATATATAAAAAAATAAAACAAGAAAGCATTTGACAAAATCTAACATTTATTCACTATTTAGGGGAAAAAACCCACCTTTTAGTCAATAATAAAAGGCAATTATTGATCTTGATAAAGAACATCTACTAAAACTAGCTATAAATCCTAGCTAATGTGATAAGGAGATAAAAGTGAATATAGATAGGGGAAGGGAAATAAAACTGTGTCTGCAAATGGCATGAAAAACATCCCATTGCCCTGGTCAAAGTCCTACTTAAAATTTTGGACAGTTCAGTCTACATAGTAAGTTCTAGGCCAGCAAAAGCTAAAAAGAGACTCTCTCTCTCTCTCTCTCTCTCTCTCTCTCTCTCTCTCACACACACACACACACACACACACACAATCCTAGTGGGAAATGAGAACACAAATTAGCTATTTTTCTGGCTAGGTCATATGGGAAAAAGGGGAAGGGAGCCACCATGTTTCAAGCCTGGCAGCTGAGTGAGTGATGCCTTTAGGGGATTGAGAGTGTGTATGATATTATTGCAAGTCCTTTAAATGTCTTATAAAACCTCTCAATCACTGTCTATCCACATTCGTGCTACTCTCTCACTTATTCTAGTTATTCTCACTAATCAGAAGAAAAAGCATCAGGTTTTTCTATGTCCCTGGCTCTTCAGGCATGTTCTTCCTTCTACTAACAACCTTTTCCCCCAGCTCTGTTCTTCCTAAGGGATCTGGGGGATGCCAAACTCTGACTGCACTGTGTTCATTGAAAACTCTAATGATGGCTTTCTTTAAAATTATGGAAGTTGCTCATTAGGAGACAATAGAGGGTGGCAGTGGTGGGGAGCAACCAACCCTCAGTCATTGGAGAATGGAAGCCGTTCTGAGGTGCATTTCATACTGTTCCTCAGAGACTCCCTGGTAGGACTGAGCTCCATTTAGGCAGGAAAACCATCCTGATAAGGCATCTTCTGTTAGCATTCCTTCCCTGCTTACTCTTCCTAATTTCCAAATAAACTACCTGCATTCAAATCTATGCCTTGGGACTTGCTAGGGGGCAAGCCTAAAGGAAGATTAAATGAAATGATATCCTCAGAGCACTTTAACATCACAATATTTGTTACCTTTTTCATTCTCTAACAACACTGTATATTTCCTTCATAGAAACAAATATAATTTATGATTGCATGTTACTCCTATAACTTTTTGTTGTTGTTACTCTTTAACATGACTCCATCACTGTCCTAGTTTGTCTCTCCATTGCTGTGACAAAACACTCTGACCACTACCAACTTGGGGAGGAAAGGGTTTATTTTGCTTTCATATCCTGGGTCACAGTTCATCTGGGAGCCCAAGGTAGGAACTCAGGGCAGGAACCTGGAGGCAGGAGCTGGAGCACAGGCCATGAAGGAACTCTGCTTACTGGCTTGCTCCCCTGGCCCCTGCTCAGCCTGCTTTCTTATGCAACATAGGCTCACCTGCCCAGGGTTGGCACCACCTACAGTGGGCAGGGCCCTCCCACATCACTCAACAATCAAAAAGGTGTCCCATGGACATGACCACAGGCCAGTCCAATGAAGGCAATTCCCCAATTGAGGCTCCCACAGCCCAGGTGTGTGAAGTTGACACTAAAGCTATCTAGCACAATCACCATAGACTGGAAGACTCGTGCCCAGAGTCAGTATCATTTTCTGTTTTGCTCACAGATTCAGAACACATAAATACTCAGTACACTTGTGTTTCTTTTGTTGCTGCTATTGCATGAGAGAATGTTGGAAAATATTGCTTTGCCCACTTGGTTCTCTTCTATTCCAACACCCTTTCATCTTTCTGTGACTATTCATCTTGGTGATAAAATTTTGGTCCATTTAAATTTCTTAATGCAGAAGTAGAAAATCCTTTTCTTACATTAGCATTAGCATGGAGCCTAGTGACTTGCTAAAGGTCAGGCACCTGCACAACCACAGAGCCCAGATTCCAGTGCCTGGTTGCCAGTGCATTTTCCTATAGGCCACAGTAACTTTTCTTGCTGATTAGCGAACAGATCTGAGGAGTTCATTCCCATGGATCGAACTAGGTTCTATCACAATGTGGCTAATCTTGCTGAATTTGCCATACAGTTAACGGGTTGTCTTCCTGACTTCTTTGAGATGAAGGGATGAATTCTCCCTTTTTCTTTGCTCCTGGCACCCATACGCTGCTGCAGAAAACAGGCGGCGGATACCATCTGACAGCCGCTCTCAGCTGTGTATGTACCACGTTTATTAATAAAGACTGCTGTTTAGGGACTGGGGCGTCACTGGAGGATCCCTGGTTCCTGTGAACATAGCACCAGCACAGTTTACCTGTAGGGAGGTAACCAGTGATAGCGGGGACAGCTTCCATTCCACAGAGTGAGCAGCTGCATGCTCTGGCAGCGTCGGTGGGATGCCTTCTGGGGGTCTTATCACTCACGCCCTCTCTACCCTGAAAGCCTAATGAGAGCCGAGGACTTCACTGCACAGAGTTCCACGCACGAAGGCGCCTGCAGATCCTTCACCTCTGTTCAGCTTGGGCTAGACCTTCCCAGGCTTGACCTAAGTGGGTTATCCACGAGCGCGCCAAGCACCTGTGGTGTGGAACCTCCTTGCTCCCGGCACGCTCCCTGTCCCTGAGCGACCCACCGCTCTCCACGCAACAGTTGGTGCCCGCTGCACGCTGCCTGTGGCGGCGGACCCGTTGTGCGCGCGCTCCCGGGCCGTGCGCGCCCGGCGGCCACGGGGCCGGGCTGCCGGTGGCCGCCGCGCAGAGGCTTG